CACTCTCAAAATGTAATCAGATATCAGAATAATTGTTTATATGCTTTTGGTAGTATGTTTTGAAACATATTGAAGCTACTAACTGAACTACGTTTTTGTGAAAGTTCTATTATGGGACTGATTTTTAATTCCTTATTTTATTTAAGTTATAAAGTTATTAAAGGTTAATGATAACTTAATATTGAAAAGTGTTAAGGAATTTTTTCTACATGCTTTCTATTTTTAATAATCTCTTCAGAATTTGAGCTAGTAGAAATGATGAATGAAATTCAAAGTAATTTAAAATGCCTTGGCCTTTTGGAGCCTTATTTCTGGAAAAAGGGAGAAGCCTGTGCAGTAAGAGGATCCGATACTGTGTGTGTGTGTGTGACTATATGCTATATGCTAAATGCTATAGCATTAAGTGACCTTTTGAGTCTGAATACGTGAAAAATTGATTTAAACGTCTTTTGATGAGTTCAGTCGTGTAGGAAGATCAGTCAGGTGCATTATGCTTTTAACTGTAATAAGAAAAATTTTTTTTCAATATATTTAGTAACCTGGATAACCAAAAAGTATTTCCAGGTAGGGATTTGATCACTGGTATTTTAATGAATGAATCACTTAGTTGTAATCAGTAGCCCTATTTGTACATACATACAGCATTAAGTAAAACAAGTTGTTTTCCAATATTTTAAATATCTCCTTAGCAAACTTGTTTATGGCCCAGCTAATTCTTTGGTGAGGGCTAATTTACCTTTCAAGAATAGTGAGGGGCACTCACATTTCATTCAAGATCTTTAAAACCAGCTGCATGCTTCAAGGATGAAAATACCTTCATTTACATTGTATTTACTAAGTAAAATGGTAAAGTTGATTCAGCCCTTAAAAATTTTAGTTTTTGGGCTGGCCTGGTGGCGCACTCGGTAGAGTGTGGCGCTTGGGAGTGTGGCGGCACTCCCGCCGAGGGTTCGGGTCCCATATAGAGACCGGTCCGCTCACTGGTTGAGCGCGATGCGGGTGCGACACCGAGGGTTGCGATCCTGTTGCCAGTCGCAGTGTGGGCGTGACACTGAGGGTTGCGATCCCGTTACCAGTCACGAAAAAAGACAAAAAGGAAAAAAAAAATTTTAGTTTTGAGGGAAGAGGAGATTAAGGAGAAAAGTCTTTTTGTTTCTTCTTGCATAGGAGTTTATTTTCTGTTTGATGATGATACCTAACAATTAACATTAAAATTCAAGATTTTTAGCTTTTTTCACATGTGTGTTCATATTTTATAATTTGTTTACAACTATCCCAAACATAAATTATTATTCCCATTTTACTGATATGAAAATTGAATTAGGTTCAGTGATTTGCCAAGGTCACCCTTATCAGTGGGTGGTGATGCTGGAGTTCATATACAAGCCTCTGATTCCTAAACTTCTGATTCTGAGTCTTGTGCTTTTTCTGCCAGACTACTAACTTTTAATGGTTTTAATAGAAGTAAAATGACTTCAAATTTTAGGTGAGTACTTAAGCATCTGAATACTTACAGATTCATGTGTTAATCTGAAAATGGTCAGTTTTCACATACATTTGAGTTGTCCAGATAATTCCTGCCCTTTTCTTCTTTAATACAAAGGTAAACTGAATGACAGTTTTCATCATGTTATCACACTTCATGAACTTTACATGTGTCGAATCCAAATAAAAAACATGGTGAATTTTTTTTCTCATGCTCTAAAAATCTCAAATTTAAGTTATTTTAATACAAGTTATTATGTTATTTCAAATATAAAATATGTTATTTTAGGGCCGGCCCGGTGGTGCACTCGGTAGAGTGTGGCGCTTGGGAGCGCAGCGGCGCTCCCGCCAAGGGTTCGGATCCCATATAAAGACTGGTCTGCTCACTGGTTGAGCGCGGTGCGGGCATGACACCGAGGGTTGCAACCCCGTTGCCATTCGCGGTACGGGCTCAACACTGAGGGTTGCGATCCCGTTACTGGTCACGAAAAAAAGACAAAAAGGAAAAAAAAATATGTTATTTTAACTTATTTTAAAGTACTGTTATAGTTTACTGATCACCTTTTTTTCCCTTCCCTTTGTCCATTTTACATTTCAAGTATACACAATGAATTTTTTGTTTCTTAACCTGGTATCTTTCAAAATTTATCCTATGATCTACATTAGGAAATAAGCATTTTAGGGCCTGGACAGTTAGTCAGATGGTTAGAGTGTGGTGCTTATAACACCAAGTTCCAGGGTTTGATCCCTGTACTAGCCAGCCCAAAAAAAAAAAAAAAAATAGAAATAGACATTTTATGAAACCATACTCACCCTCACAACCTGTGATATACTCATTATTTTGTATTCAGTTCTATTTCATTTTTTAAAATAATGACTGCCAGGCAAACCCAATTAAACAGTAATCTGTTCATTTTGTTAACTTGGGGCAAAAGAAATAACTTCATGGCATTTCTTATTCTGACACAGTTTAGAAATTGAATTACTAAAATTAAAGCATTTTTAGAAAGTGTTTCTCTCAAAGACTTTGTAAGTAATAAGACTGATATTTTTTAAAGTTTTTATTTATATGTTACGTGCAAGGAAACGTTTTTGCAATGAATTTTGATATACTATAGGATGAAGGAATACAGTGTCACTTTTTTCCTGGAAATTTTCCAAATCTAAATTTAGTTATCTTTCCAAGATGTCTTTTTTTTTTTTTTGTCTTTTTCTGTGTCCGGCAACGGATCACAACCCTCAGTGTTGCCCCCGTACCGGACCGGGGACCGGCAACGGGATCGCAACCCTTGGTGTTGCCCCTGCGCCTCGCTCAGCCAGTGAGCGGGAACCGGTCTGTATGTGGGATCCGAACCCTCGGGCGGGAGCGCCGCCGCGCTTCCCAAGCGGCGCACTATCCAGTGCGCCACTGGGCTGGCCCAAGATGTCTTTTTTTTAATACCAGGAAATCTCCCCTAGTTTTTAGTAACAAATTTTAAATATAAATTTTATTTGGCCTGTTTCAGGTACAATATTTAGATCATGGATTTATAGAGAAGATTCCACAGTGTCATCTTTACCCTGTCTTGCTATATCCTGATACACCTCAGTTTTGTATTCCTTGTCAGCTCTGTAACACCATACCCGTGAGTACATAGTAATTTGTGGGATGATTAATGTTAAATATTGGTGTTTATTAATAATATTTTAGAAATTAGAATGTAAAGTAAATCCTTTTCAGTTGCAACAAAAATAATAAAATACCTACAGATAAGTTTAATAAGACCGCTATAGTATTATCCTGAAGGACATAAAACACCTCAATAAATTAAGAAACATATAATATATTCCTAGTTGAGAAGGTATAAGATTGTAAAAATTTAGTTATTTCTTTATCAAATGAAATTACAACAAATTTGAAGCTGAAAAACAGATAAAAGTGTGGTATATTAATCATCTCTTGCTGTATAAAAAATTAAGCTGGAACTTAGTGGTCTAAAACAACAGTAAACTTTCATTATGTCATACAGTTTCTGTGGCACACCAGACCCCTTGTGATACTGCAGTCAAGATGTCCCCCAGAAGTTTAGTCATTGAAGTATTGCCTGGGGACAGAGACCCACTTCCAGATGGCTCACCCACATGGCTGTTGGCAGGAAGTCTTAACTTCCTTGCCATGTGAACCTCTTAATACATAAAAACATCACAGTCACTGCTCCTTAATGAATATGTCTTGTGGGCGTGTACAAGCCCTGCATTGGCATATTGGTCTTTTTTTTTTTGTCTTTTTCCGTGTCCGGCAACGGATCGCAACCCTCAGTGTTGCCCCCGCACCGGACCGGGGACCGGCAACAGGATCGCAACCCTCGGTGTTGCTCCCGCGCCTCGCTCAGCCAGTGAGCGGGAACCGGTCTGTATGTGGGATCCGAACCCTCGGGTGGGAGTGCCGCCGCGCTTCCCAAGCGGCGCACTATCCAGTGCGCCACCGGGCCGGCCCGGCATATTGGTCTTTTTTAAAAAGTTTTGAATGTGATGTTTAACGTAGGTTTATATTTCTAAAGCATAAGATGTTTTAAGTGAGTGCTATAGGGAGAAGCTGTCAAATTATTAGTTTTTTAAGATCATTTTTATCATATACCCATGATAGTCTCTGAAAACTGCTTGTGTGTGTTTTGTACTACTATATCACCTATTTTTGGCTACTTTTGTAAATCTTAATTTGCTGCCTGCTTTTTCTTATTCTGTGAAAGTGTAAAAGAATGAGTTGTTTAATTCCAAATAGGTTGGGAATGTCTGGCAACCAGATGCAATAGAACTTCTTCGGGAACTGCTTTCAAAGAGAGAGGTGGAAATTCACATTATGGTAATTTGTATTTAAAGCATATATTGCTGGTTTAAATTATTTGCCATAAAATGTTATGACTAACATAATTTGAGGGGTATTCTTGATGATAGGTAGTTTTATATGTGTTCCTATGTGAATGTATATTACTCAACATAAGTTACCATTTTGGTTCCTAGGCTTGTTTTGAGTAAACTTAATTTTGAACAATTTCTGAGAACTTTCATAACCATTAATGTTAGTAATTTCAAAGATTCTTTATTAAATTATTAATGACTGATTTAGATACATGGAGCAGTACCAAATTGTTGGAGATGTTTATACACTTATGTAGCAGTTTTCAGGATGGTTTTGTGTATTAAGTGCGGGTTAATTCAAAAGGGTCTGTGATGATCCCTGTCCTTAAAGACCTTGTCTGGTTAGTGAAACAAGACATAAACCTAAAAAAATCATATTACAAAGCCACATGCTGATAGCCAAGTGACTGGTAAAAAGAGTAAGTGTAATGGAAGTTAAGAGATGATGAGAATTGACATATCCCTTAAAGAAAAGATGGTAAAGTTCTCCTGACTGAGGAAATGGAATGCGGAAAGGCACAGAGAGACATTTTTAGGAAATAGTATAACTGATTGACTAGAACATTGGAGATTTGGAGGAGGGTCCATTTAAAAACAGCGTCAGGGAAGGCCGGCCCGTGGCTCACTCGGTAGAGTGCGGTGCTGATAACACCAAGGCCACGGGTTCGGATCCTATATAGGGATGGCTGGTTTGCTCACTGGCTGAGCGTGGTGCTGACAACACCAAGCCAAGGGTTGAGATCCCCTTACCGGTCATCTTTTAAAAACAAAACAAAACAAAACAGCGTCAGGGAAGATGTTCCTGCAAAGGTAGCATCTGAGTCAAGACCTTAACACAGTGAGAGGACAGGCCCCGCAGGCACTGGGAGAAGAGTGTCGCGCCAGTGCTGGGGAGAGCAGGGCACGTGGGCAAGAGAGGCCCGGGAGGCACATCTGGAGGGAGCAGAGAGAAGCAGGGAGGTCCACTGGAAGGCAGTGACCACAACTCACTGAGGACATGGGTGTGGACAAAGGCGGGACCAGCAGAAATGGAGAGAAGTGTCCACAGTCAGCTTATCAGTCACAGACAGGTTCAGTACCTAATCACCATCAACGGAATTTATCCAGAGTTTTAAAGCATTGTTCATGACTCCTGCTTTTAGACTGCTACTTTCTTCTGATTCCTGCCGTTTGGGGATTTTTATTGAAACTTCATTTCTTCACCTCTGAACCTTTTCTTTCTCCTTCTACTTAGTATAAATTATTAGTATCATCTAAAGATGATGTATATAGTAAATTATACACACTAAATTATTTTCTGGTAAGTAACTAGAAAACTCTATCCCTTATGGACATGTAAATGTATTTTACATAAACCAAAGTAGTAGAATTACTGCCTCATAACCTGTCAGAATACCAGGAAGAAAATTCTGTGAAATCAGTCACTAGTCAAGCTGTCTGGTAATACCGTGATTGTCGGAAGCCTAATTTCATATTCGCACACTATAAAATTTGCTTATGAAATAGACTTTATTTTCATAGTAATCTTTATTGAACTGATATAGGAATTACCTGAAAATCCATGGGGGAGATTATCTATTCATCTCTATTTTGATGGAATGTCACTTTCTTATTTTATGGTACACCATAAATATTGTACTTCTGGACATTCAGAGGAGATATTGAAAGAGGTAAGTGAACTATTTTTCTATAAAAATCTAAACTATAGAAAAATTAATTCTGGTTAAAATGTCACAATTTGTCTGACACCTCGAGTCTTGACTATGAGTCTACATATTTGATCTATTAAGAGAGCCTAGAGAACTTGTACATTCTTTATTGAGAAACCAATACACTATATCATGCTTTATAAATGTCTTGAAAAATACTTTAATTATATTAAGATTCGGTTAATGTTTCTGTGCCTTCAAACCTAGTGAGACATCCATTATGTTATCCAATGTCGTTTGAATATAGGGATGAACATTATAAAATATTTACAGAATTCAGTGCCAGAAAAGGGATCTCTCCCCAGATAAAACATTTTTTCCTTTTACTTTACATGAAAGCCATATATTATAACATTTCTCCCATTTGCCTTCTCACAGAAAACTCAGAGCCACATTTTGAGCTTAGCTTCAATAAATAGCTCCTAGTACTTCTGTTTTTAATATTTTAAAAAACATAAGTAGCCTGTTATAGAACGGTTTCACATTTTAAGCTGCTATAAATCCTTTGTGGAGACAGTATGCATCATAATAACATTTTATACCACAAGATATTTTTATTTCTAGAGTTATAGTTCACTTGTTAGGTTTTTAAATATTTATTTTAGTGATAGTCCACAACCAAACACTGTTTTGTTCAATATAGTGTGTGTTGTGCATGTGCTTGTGTATATACAAGGTGTTTCATTTACTAAACTGGTTTGATAAAGACGACTTAGTCTGTCTTCCAGTTTCACTCTTCACTGTGAATGTGATAAAGGGAAAAGTAAGAGCTCCTAGTCTCTTACAATAAACTAATCACCATTGACAGGTGTTACCAAACTTTTGAGGATTCTTATTGTTAAAATATTTAGATAGTAAGATTATTCAGAACAGTAGGTTTTCCTGTAGTTAATCTGAAATAACTAAATGAATGCCAACAAAGATGTGCACCCAGTTTTTCTGGGGTTGAAATATGAAAGTGCCTTAAAATGGCATCGTATACCTAAAGCTGTTCACTCATTAATAATACTGTATTATTTCAGAAACCATCAGGTTACAATAAAAAGTATGAAGAGGAAAGATGGGAAATAAGGTTCGAGGTAAGTAGCAATCCAAGTATCTTGGAAACTTTGGACACTTCATCAGTATAAAGGATCTGATACAGGATCAGGAAGTAAGAGTTTTCTTTCTATTGAGATATTATTTACATACCATAAAATTCACCTTTTTAAAATGTATGATTCAGTGGCTTTTAGTATTATTCACTGAGTTGGACAACCATCACCACTAATTCCATAATGTTTCATCACCCCTGAAGGAAGCCCTGCACCAGCAGTAGTCACTCCCCGTGCGTCCCTTCCCCAGCTTCGTGGCAGCCACTTAATATTCTGTCTGTATGGATTTCTCTATTTAGGGCATTTTGTATAAATGGACTCATATAATCTGTGGCCCTTTGTCACTGGCTTTTCACTTATGAGAGCATGAGGTTTTCAGGGTGTATGCATGTTGTAGTATCAGTACTTTATTCCTTTAATATGATTTGTTTATGCATTCATCTGTTGATGGACACATGCGTTTCCACCTTTTGATGATTGTGAGTAATGCTGCTATGATCAAGTAAAAGTTTTTATAAATATATTTTCCCAAGTTTACTGAGTCTCGTGGTAACTATATTTAACATTTAAGGAACTACAGGACTGTTTCCCAAAGTGTCTGTACCATTTTACATTAACATTAGGAATGTACAAGGATTCCATTTTCTCCACATTCTCACTAGATTACCGATTTTTATTCAGATTACAGATTAATCTGATGTGTTTTTAGTCATCCTAGGATAGGTGTGAAGTGATATATCATTGTGATTTTTTTTTTTTTTTTTTGTCCTTTATGTGACCGGCCACATCGTGCTCAGCCAGTGAGCGCATCACACTGGCCATCCCTATATAGGATCCGAACCCGCGGGGGGTGGGGGGGGAGCGCCACTGTGCTCCCAGCGCCACACTCTCCCGAGTGCACCAAGGGCTCTGCCCATCATTGTGATTTTGATATGCATTTCGCCAATGAGTAATAATGTTGAGCATCTTTTCATGTGTTTATTGGCCATTTGTAGATTTTCTTTGGAGAAATCTCTATTCAGATTCACCGCCCGTTTTTAGTTGGGTTATTGTTCTATTGTTGTATGAATTTTTAATATATTCTGTATATAAGTTCCTTATCAGATATATGTTTTACAAATATTTTCTCCCATTCTGTGGGTTTTGTCTTTTCACTCTGTTGATAGTGTCTTTTTAAGCAACAAATTTTTTAATTTTGATGAAGTCCAATTTATCTGTTTTTTTCTTTTGTCACTTGTGCTTGTTGGTGCAGGAGGAGTTTTAATAAGTAAAACTTTATTAGTATAATTTCATAACATATGCTTGTTGTTAAGTGCTTATTAGTTTGTTACAAATAAAAATTCAAAAGCGGATGGTCACTTTTTGCTGAGTTTTTCTAGGTTTGAGTTTTCGTTTTCTGTTTTGCCATCAGATTGGAAATGTTAAATAGTAATAAATTAACCTACACATTTGAATGTGGTGGTTTTATTTCTTAAGATAATTACCATATTTGAGAACAAAAATAACTTTTAAAAAAGATATTGTTGGCCAGCCTGGTGGCGCACTGCTACAGTGCGCCGCTTGCGAGCATGGCGGCGCTCCTGCCGAGGGTTCGGATCCCACATACAGACCGGCTGCTCACTGGCTGACCGAGGTGAGGGCGCAACACCAAGGGTTGCGATCCCGTTGCCGGTCCCGGTCCAGTACGGGCGTGACACTGAGGGTTGCGATCTGTTGCCGGTCACGAAAAAAGACAAAAAGGAAAAAAAAAAAAAAGATATTGTTGGTATTAGCAGAAAAATGTGCATCCGCAACTGCTGCATGCTGTGATCCTCTTGAGACTCTCATGATTTTGTATTATTTATTTTGTGTTTGTGGAACTTAACCTTTCTGATGATTTTAACTTACTTCCATCTTCTTTTAGCATTTCATATATTGTTTTAGTTTTTATTACAAATAAGTACTTATTCTTAAAATAAATGAAAGACTACAGAACTGTGTAAAGGAAAAAGGAAATATCCCGCATTCTGCACCTCAAACACCCCAGTCTCACTCAGTACAATTACTGTTGACCATTGTTAACCATTCTTCCAGAATTTTGTGTGTATACCTAGGTATGTGTACATCAGTAAATATTTGTGCATGTTTTGGGTTTTTAGGTTTTTTTGTTTGCACAAAACTTTTTTTATAAATTTAGGGACAAAAGAATACTAAAGATCTAAGTTTAGTCATCACATTTTGGTTCTACTACAACAGAATGATTTTGTGGTATTTAGTATTTAAGAGAGCTTGCTTTCTGCTAATTGAAAGTAAATTGGCATCATAATGAATTTTTATAAGGTGGTGGATTTTTGTAATTGTCATTCTGAAACTTGAATTTATGTGGTGTTTTAGGAACTGCTTTTGTCTGAGACAGAGACTCCTATTTTACCACCATATTTGTCTTCATCTCTGCCTGACCCAGAAGAACTCTTTGCTGTTCAAGTTAAGCATGTTATCTCACCTAATGAGGTATGTCATTAAGTGATAAAGGTGCTGGTTAAAAACATAGCAAGCAATCTTGTTCTTAAACACTAGGTTTGATTCTTCACTTCTCCATCTTCCTGATTTTAAATAATTGAAAAGTGGTGACTTCTAGTTTCCCCATCCTATAATATCCTCTTTAGAAATTTGGTAATACAGTCATGAGTCACTTACCGACAGGGAGACATCCTGAGAAATGCATTGTTAAGCTATTTCGTTGTTGTGTGACCATCATAGAGTGTGCTTACACAGACCCAGATGGTATAACCTAGGCCGTATGGTATAGCCTGTGGCTCCTAGGCTACAAACCTGCACAGCACATTACTGTACTGAATACTGCAGGCAATTGTACTGCAGTGGTATTTGTGTATCAAAACATAGAAAAGGTCCAGTAAAAATGTGGCATAAAAGATCTTTTTAAATGGCACACCTGTACCGGACACTTAACATAGATAGAGCTTGCAGGACTGGAAGTTGCTCTGGGTGAGTCAGTCAGTGAGTGGTGAGTGAATGTGAAGGCCTAGCACATCGCTGTGCACTACTGTAGACCTACGTTACACTAATTTTATTAAAAAATGAAGTGATTATGCTGTGACATTATGACGGCTAGACAATAGTACTTTTTCAACTCCTTTATAATCTTATGGGCCCACTATCGTATATGCATCTACTGTTGCCCAGAACAGTGCTAGGTGGCACATGACTGTATTTAATATAAGGGCAAGTGTTCTTTAAGCACCTGCTGGGTTCCCAGTGTTGTGTTGCTTCGTTCATTGTTATGTTTATATCAAATATTTAGATGTATAAGGTGAAATCATTTCCACGTGTGAAATCTTAAACATCTCACTCCTGTTCCCTCTTCCTGCACTGAGCTGTACTGCTCCTTACCCTGCCCTGTGTTTTCCGTACCACTTTACCACCTTCTGACACCTTGTGCCCCTTTCTTATTTATGTTTGCCTCCCCACTATCAGAATGTAATTCCGTGAAGACAGGGATTTTTGTCGATGGTGTTCATTGATTTATTCCCAGAACCTAGAATAGTGCCTGACATATAGCAGGTGCTTGATGAATATCGATGGAATCAATAAATGCACAAAAGAAAATTTAATGACATGTCCTTGGCTAACGAGAGAGAGATGAAGACAGGGATTTTTGTCGATGGTGTTCATTGATTTATTCCCAGAACCTAGAATAGTGCCTGACATATAGCAGGTGCTTGATGAATATTGATGGAATCAATAAATGCACAAAAGAAAATTTAATGACATGTCCTTGGCTAACGAGAGAGAGAGGCAAAAAGGATAAGTTAAGTAGCATCGGCAGTTCCTCCAGCCTTTTACATGGTAATCCATTCGCTTGCAGGCAAGAGAGGGGTTTGCTGTCTAATTTCATCAAAGACCATAGTAGTGTACAGCTGTTGCTGGTTTTTATAATGATTTTTTTATAATTATTTATTGCTGCATAATAAATTACCCTGAATTTACCAGCTTAAAACAATACACATGAGGGTCAGGAATCCAGGAGCTGCTTAATTAAGTACTCTGGCTCAGGATCTTTCATGACGTTGCAATCAAGATGTTGATGGGGGCTGCAGAATCCATTTCCAAAATGACTCATAGGAGGCACGTGGAAGGCTCAGTTTCGTGCCCAGGGGCCTCTCCGGTGACCTCCCAGGATGGCTCTGAGATTCCCAGAGCACACGGGCCCTGACAGAGTGCCCCCAAGACAGAGCCAGATGTCTTATAATCCAGTCTCAGCAACCACACACAGTGACAAAATACGTGTGGTAGGATGTGGAAAAGGAAGTCTACAAGGGGTAAATATCAGGAGGCAGGGATCATTGGAAGCCAGTCTGCCGCAATAGTTTTGTCCACATAAATGAATACTAGAAGTTACAGAATTTGAAGGTTTTTTTCCCTCCCCTTTCCCCTACTTAGGTGTATATATGTCTTGATTCTGTAGAAAACTGTAATGCATTTAACCGGCATAGTGACATAGATGATAGTGGAGTCAGCTGGGAATCGGAGAGCCTTGATGAAGCGCTGCGGAGGGTGAATAAGAATGTAGAGACACTTCCTCCTCTCACGGATTTTAGAACAGGTATACTTATTACTCTTATAATGTAACAGGATTCTTAATAAAACTCGTTTTTTGGTTTTATTGTGCTGGTAAGGTTGAGTTATTTCTAACTTGAACTGATATTTCTCTTGTACTCACTTTGCACACATGATCTCTGAATCCTTGAGACACCCTGCAGGTGACCTCCTCCCATTTCCTAGATGAGGAAGGTGAACAAGAGAAGTGAAGTACCTCCCCTGGGGCGCTTTCACTTTCCAGAAGTGAGGCTGTGTTGGGAAATTAACTGCGTAAAGATGATTTTCCGAGCTTGAGCTTTTACCACCAGCTCCAGTTGTGCAGTCATTTTAATTACAAGCCACCTAAGCTGACGATTTTGAAGTGGGGACTCAGACTTTGTCCTGTCAGAATGGATCAAGTTCCTATCTTTTTTCTTTTTAATCCATTCTTCCCATCGTTATTAAATACATGTGATTCTCCTTTGAGGAAAACATATCCGGTTAGTGGTGTTGACAGTTTATGAATGACAAGAGTGGTGTCTATACATTTTTATCAGTATATGACATATAGAGATGTATTTATTCTTGATATTTTGTACACATCAGAAGATGCTTAGCAAAGGAAAAAAACCTCAGCCTGATGTCTTACTTGACTTTATTCAGTGAGATTTTACTTGGTTTTGACCTCCTTTTGGCTGATAAATAATGCTTGCTGTTCCCTCTACCTGAAGTGTTGTTCCCCCAGGATGTCTAGACAGTGCAGGTCTCTGCTCAGCTGCTCCCTATTGAAAGTCTCCCCGACCTCACTACATAAATTAGCACCACCTCTTCCTGCCCCTTCGCCCTCCCATTCTCCATCCTCCTACTATCCCTTTTTAAATAGCACAGTGAGCAGGTGTCTCTGTGTCACCAGCAATTAGAAGGTCACCTAGCACAAGTAGGTGCTCATGAATATTGAATGAATGAAAGAATAAACTGATTATGGGTTTTGTGGGGTTTTTTTGTACACTCAGATTTATAGTGTGGAAGGAGCAATTTCTTTTCCATAGTGTTCATATCTCAAGGGAAATCACACAATCTAACAATCTGTCCATGACGTGGTAATTCATGGAGCTATGCATATATTATTTGTGCATTTTTCTGTAGGTATTTTATACTTCAGTAAAAGTTTTTAAAATATGCATATGTACATGTTGATTCTTAGGCAGGTGCTATTAAATATGTGTATTTGCATAAGGAATTTGTATTGAAGGAGTTGGTTAAATGGGTTAAAGTAAGATGACAACTAGGTGTTTGGTTTATTTAAAGTTCTGTTTTGAGGAGATGAAACTTCAGCCATGTTTTTAAGGCTGGAAACGGTAAAAGTGGGAAGGGACTATTAACAGTGATTCGATTATTTACTATGCAGACCAGTTCTGTTAGATGAGATTCTTTGCTGTTCTATCGATGACTTTCTCTATACACTCAAAAAATTGTTTATGACTCTTCGATGAAAATTATTTGAAATAAGATTTTTTTTTGTACATTAGTCACGTACTCTTTCAGTGCCACTTGCCCACAACTACACTTTTCTTTGGGACTTGTGTAGAAGAGAGCATGGCAGCAAGGAGAGAGCAAGATAGCAAACAGGCCTATCCATCCCATATGCTCTGATCTCAGAGTGTGTGAGTAGAAGGGAAGTATCTACTATGCAGAGTTTTCCACAGTTTTACTCAAGTCCAGAATTCATGAGCACACTTTTAACTGAGCACTTGCCTGTACCTGGTACCATGTTAGGGATATAAACTACAGTTCTGCACTGAAGAACAAGTGGCCTAGAACAAGTGGCCTAGCAGAGCACAAGCACAGTATGAAAACAGCAGGTCATGTTAAAGGAGCGAGCATATGCCACAGGATGACAGAGAAAGCACTGGTCACTTTGTAGTCAGGACTTTTTGAAGATCATGTTGGAACTGAGCCTTGAAAGAAGAGTAGATGTCTACCGTGAAAGGAAGGGCTCAGGAAAACATTCTAGATAGGAAGGATATCCCTGAGGTAAAGTACAGGCATTAAGGTTTTAAATAATTCTGCTTCAAGAACTCATTGAGGATATGTGGTAGGGGTTGTTTAGGAGATAGAGAAGCACTCTGCAAATTGCGGGACTAAGGACTTGATATTGCAGGCGGTTAAGACTCCATTGAAGAATTTTATTTATTTATTTATTTTTTGTCCTTTTTTGAGACCGGCCGCACCGCGCTCTGCCAATCCCTATATAGGATCCGAACGGCGGCAGGAGCGCTGCTGCACTCCCAGCTCCGCACTCTCCCGAGTGCAACACAGGCTTGACCCACCATTGAAGAATTTTAAACGAGAGTAATGTAATTAAATTTGCTTAATTCTGGTAGTCTTACAGAGAATGGAGAGGAAGACAGGATTGAAGGCAGGAACAGCAGAAATTATATTTATTGCTCTTTGCAAAAGATGACAGCCCAAACTAAAAGAGATTTGGGAGCATAAGAAATGGGGGCTGTGGTAGGATGATTTGAGCCATGAGAAGTAGAACTAGGAACTCTGAGAATGGGAGAAGTGCCTTCCTTCAAAGCTTAATCCTTAGGAATTGGTAAAGAAAGGTTTATAAAATATAAACAGAAAAAGAGGAGAAGCCAATGTAAGGCCACTGCTTAGTGTTTAATTCTGGATGGTGGGCATATGGTGGTTACATTTTCTTTGTACTTCTCTGTATTAAAAGAAAATAATAAGAACATGTTTAAAAAAACAAAAGGCAATATTATTATTTTTCTCCTTTTTCTGTCTTTCCAGAAATGCCTTGCCTTGCAGAATATGGTGATGGTTTATGGTATAGAGCGAAGATTATTTCCATTAAGGAATTTAATCCTTTATCTGTCCTGGTACAATTTGTTGATTATGGATCAACTGAAAAGCTAACAGTAAACAGGTTAAAAAGAAAAGGAAAACTCAATTGAATTAGGATTCTTAGTTTTGTTTTTTGGTTTTTTGGGTTTTTATAATTCTTTACTGGGAACATTTTGCTGCCTCTTCTAAAAGAAACAAGCTATCTTAAAGCTTTTGTATAGTAGCTTTTATATTAGAGATTTTTGTGTAAATAGTAGGGATTTTTTATTTATTTATTTATTATTTAATTTTTTTCCTTTTTGTCTTTTTTCGTGTCCGGCAACGGATCGCAGCCCTCAGTGTCGCGCCCGTACCGGACCGGGACCGGCAACGGGATCGCAACCCTCGGTGTTGCTCCAGCACCTCGCTCAGCCAGTGAGCGGGAACCGGTCTGTATGTGGGATCCGAACCCTCGGCGGGAGCGCTACCGCGCTTCCCAAGCGGCGCACTGTAGCAGTGCACCACTGGGCTGACCCTAAATAGTAGGGATTTTTTAAATCTAGATTTTTATTATAAAATATTAAGAGTACAGTTAATTGGCATTTAGTACATTAACAGTATTGTGCAACTATTACCACTTTACATTTCCAGAACTTTTTCATCATTCCAAATAGAAACTCTGTACTCATTAAACAACAGCATTCCATTCCATCCTGCCCCAGCCCCTGCTAACTTGTAATCTACTTTCTTCTATCTCTGTGAATTTGCCTGTCCTAGGTACCTAATGTGAGTAGAATCAAACAGTATTTGTCCTTTTGTGACTGGCTTATTTCACTCAGCAAAATGTTGTTAAGATTCATTTATGTTTTAATGTGTTAGAATTTTCTCCCTTTTTAAGGCTGAATAATGTTCCATTGTATGTATACATACCACATTCTGTTTATCACTTCATCTGTCAATGGATACTTGAGTTGCTTCTACCTTTTGGCTTTTGTGAATAATGCTTCTGTGAATATGTATTTGTATTTGTATACAAATCTCTCTTTCAGACTCTGCTTTCAATTATTTTGGGTTTATACCCAGAAATGGAATTGCTGGGTCATATACTCATCTGCTTTTAGTTCTTTGAGGAACCACTGTACTGTTTTCCACAGCAGCCACACCATTTCACATTCCCACCAGCAGTGCACAAGGATTCCAATTTCTCCACATTCTCTTGTCATTTTCTGTGGTTTTTTTGGGGGGCACGGGGGTTGATAGTAGCCATCCTAATGGCTGCAACTTGCTATCTTATTGTATATCTGATTTGCATTTGCCTAATGATAAGTGATGTTGAGCATCTTTATATGTGTTTGTTGGCTCTTTATCTTCTTTGGAGAAATGTCTCGTTATGTGTATTTTCTCCCATCCCATAGGTTGCCTTTTCACTCTGTTGATTGTACCTATTTTTCTTTTGCCTGTTTTTGGTTTTTTTGCAGCTGGCTGGTACAGAGATCCAAACTTTGGTGTTATAACACCACACTCCAATCAGCTGAGCTAATCGGCCAGCCCAATTGTATGTTTTGATACACAGAAGTTTTTAATTGTAATGAAGCCCATTTTACCTTTTTTTTGCCTGTGTTTTTGGTGTCATATCCAAACAATCATCATGAAATCCAGTGTCATGAAGCTTTTCCCATGTTTTCTTCTAGGAGTTTTATAGTTTTAGCTATAAGAGAATTTTAATTGTAACATTCTGAATATTTTAATTAAGAATTTCTTTTGTGACAGACTGTGTCAAATTCCTCTGCGTCTTATGCAGTATCCAGCCCGAGCCATAAAGGTTCTCTTGGCAGGGTTTAAACCTCCTTTAAAGGATCCAGGAAAGGCAAGAATACCATATTGTCCCAGCTGGAGCATGGAAGCATTGTGGGCTATGATAGACTGTCTTCAAGAAAAGCGACTTTATGCTTCTTCTGTGGTAAATATCTGTATTAATCAGCTATATTTCTTTTCAGGCTATTTCTGTGGTCCCTATTAGCTTTGTAAAGTGCTGTTTCTATGCAACTCTACATGCAAAAATCTAATAATTAAAGTGTATAAAACTATGTATACTATCAGATTAATTTTAAGTCTCCTTTTATCTTAGTTTATATTTAATAAACTTTTTATTATTATTAACCCTATGGTGATATATCACTGATGTGGTGAATAAGATAAAAATGATGTAGATGAGTATGGTGTAGTCAAAGAACTTACAAGTTAATGAGGGAAACAAACTTACAAACCACTAATTAACGCAAGATAACATGAAATAAGTGCTATAACAGAGGTATAGGAAACTTTGTGAGAGTGCAAGAGGAATGGTTATTTCCATCTGGAGGTATCAGGGTATTTGAGCTACTTCTTAGCAGGCACTCAAGTACTAAATTGAATGAGTAGGACAGGGAAGTGGCATTTGAGCTGCATCCTGAAAGATGAGCAGGAAGACCGGGAGTTCTCTTCAGTCATAGAAAGATTTGAATTGTAGTAATCTCAAAATTGTACTAATTCTGAATTGTTTCATGTAGAACTTGTATCAAAAGGTCAAATAAGGGCCGGCCCGGTGGCGCACTGCTACAGTGCGCCACTTGGGAGTGCGGTGGCGCTCCCACCGAGGGTTCGGATCCCACATACAGACCAGTTCTCGCTCACTGGCTGAGCGAGGTGTGGGCGCAACACCGAGGGTTGCGATCCCATTGCCGGTCCCGGTCCTGGTCCGGTACGGGCGCGACACTGAGGGTTGCGATCCGTTGCCGGACACGAAAAAAGACAAAAAGGGGAAAAAAAAAAAAAAAAAGGTCAGATAAGAAACTGCAGATGGTATTTAATAGAAACCTTTCTTCTTCCAAGGCTTAGCATGTCACAAAAGGAGTAGCCTACAGGCAGAATCTGGTCCACATCATGTTTTATTTAGAGCACCATTTTAAAATTGAAGACTTTACCCCCCAAAGTATTTGGGACCTCTGATTGAATAGAATAAAATCCAGAAATCCTGGATCTCCCTCCCGAATGGCAGTCAGCTGGAGTGGCGGTAGATGGGAATGTACCCTTCAGTTCACCCTAGTCCTTCCACTAGTGTTCTGTCCTATCTGCTTCTCTCCTGTGTGACACGTGCCTCGTCTCAGAATTTTGGGATTCCTGACACACTGGCTATGACAGAAATGAGCTCATAAGGAGACAGTGCTGTTACTAGAAAACCTCTGTACAGACGCTGTTGTGTGTGCAGAGTGGTGTGATAAGCTCATGCAGCCTTTTTCTCAAGAAGCAAGTGAAAATACGGACAGGGCGAGTGTTTCTTCTAGATATGTATTTTTTTCACCTGTATGAATAACAGTCAAACTTTGGTAAGTTTATGCATAAAGTTCTGATGCTATATGTGTGAAATGTAACAACTTTAACAGGGATGATGGTATTAATTGGCTCCATCCAGGAGAACCATGGGGGGAGGAATTACAATTTAAATAGAGCAGGATAACGGAAGGAATGCGATTTAACAGGAAACCATCATAGATGCCTTTTAAAGTAGGGTAAAAATTATAGATATAAGCTGGCCAGTTAGCTCAGTTGGCTGGAGAGTGGTGCTGATAACACTAAGGCCTGGGGTTTGATTCCTGTACTTTCCAGCTGCCAAAAAGTAATAATAATAAATCTAGAGAATTCCCCTTCCCTCCTCTGTGAATGGCCAGCTGTAGAAGGAAAAAGGCAGCAAAGATACTGTGTTTTCTTGACAACTGTGTCTTTTAATTTTAGGCTCAGACACCAGAACCAGTAGTGACATTATATGAAGATGAACAGTATCCAGTTCATATGTCATTAATAAAAATGGGGCTCGCAGACAGAGATGAGTGATGTGAGTCTAAGTTCTTGTTCACCCTTCTAGCCAGAGTAAGACCTGTGACCCAGAAGTTAATGCTAAGTTGCTCATAAAACCACCCTTGGCTTTTCCTTAATTTCTTAAAGGAATAACAACAAAGCTCAACAAGAATCTCTCTTCCAGATTTCTTCTTCTTAGGCCCTTCTCACCTGTTGAGCGCCAGTATCAGGGAGGTCCCATATCTATAAGAATTCTTGGCATGGCTATCGTGACTGTCACAGTAGCAGATGGGTATGGGGTGAGCAGGAGAGAGGGGGCGCCATAAGTCATTCAAGCACATGAATCTGTAGTGTGCCTACAGAACTACTGAACAATGTGCATCCTAGTAACAAAGTTATTACGCTACCGGGGTAGCCAGCTCTTTATCTTGTCCATTCACATAAGTCTAACAAGTGATTCAACAACTAGACTGGAATGCTTAACATGGAGCAAAGGTTTAAAATAACACACATTTTGTTTTTCAGGTATACGGTGCAGAGCATCTGGTAGCAACCCTGAGAAAGTTTTCTGTTATGTTTAGACCATCAAACCATTTCACACTTGGTTTCTTGACTTGTTCTGCAGTTGTGCTGGCTCCCTCCCCCACCCCCATTCTTACATGTTGAACTGTTAGGAATTGTGGGGGGGGGGGGGAAATCCGAAAGAATAGTTAATAAATATTTGCTTCCAAACATTTTCTTGTTTTATTTTACTATATTTCATAATGAAATAGTTAAGACACATGATACAAATTTTAGTTCATTTTATAACTAATGATTCATCTTAAGTAAGATATTATCAGTACAGTTGAAGGCCCCTGTAGTGCCTCTCTCCAGTCACATTCTTCCTCCCATAGAGGTGAACACTGAGTGATTTGGTGTTTGTCATTCTTACATGGGTCTTTGTAATTTTGGTGTGTATGAATGCATCCATGAGATAAAGTACTACTCTGTGTATTTTTAAATGTATGTGGCATTACACAATTGCTATAGATTGGATGCCTGCCCCCCTGACCTCCCCCCTCCCCACCATTGAAGCTTAAATCCTCATTGTAACTGTTGAGGGTGGGAAATCCTATTATGGTAATTGAAAGGTGGGGCCTTGAAGAGGTGATTAGATTGCAAGGACCATGCTGTAGTGAATAGATTAATAATGATGGTTGTGGGCGTGGTTCTGAGGGCTTTAAAAAAAAAAGAGTGAATGGGAAGTTTGCTCTCTCTGCTCCACCATTTCTGTCATAAGAAACCCCTGGGTCACTGTCGCCACCACCAAGACCCTAACCAGATGTGTTCCTGTACTGTGTACTTCCCACCCTCCAAAACTGTAAGCAATGTTTTGATCTGGTTAGAAAATATCCAGTTCCATGTATTTTGTTATATATTTTATTTGTACAGTATTTGTACTGTATTGAATTACTCAATTACAAATATTCTGTAGGACCTTGTATAGTTGTGAGAGGTTTTCTAGTATACACACATAGTAGTGGAATTTGCTGGATCATGGGGTGGTTGCTTTCTAAAACTGGTTTTACCAATTTACTCCACCATCAGTTGTCTGAGTTCCTTGCCAGTACTTGATGTAGCCAGACCTTTCTTTGCCAGAATATACTAGTATAAAAAGGTATCTCGTTGTTTTAATATGCATTCTGGCTTATTAGAGTCAGAGAGCATTCTGTCACTTGCTTGTTGATATGTTTGTCTATTTTTCTGTTGAGTTAGCAATTTTCTTACTGATTTGTAGGAATTCTTTATGTATTCTGGATAGTAATCCTTTTTCAGGTATATGTATCTTCTTTCCTTTTGATATAGTTAGTAGTAACTTTTGACAAACTTTTCACTCATTTATTAGCCTTCTCCTTTAAGGTTTGTGCTTTCTGTGTCTCATTTAAAAATCCTTCACTATCCTGAGATAATATATTAAACTCATTTTTTTTGAAAAGTTTTAAAGTTTTGTTTTTCATATTGAGATGGCTTGCCCATCTTTCAAGGACACCTTGCTTCTGTCAGCCTACAGTTTTATCAGTGATAACATCGAGGTAGCTGTGGTCCATCAGTTAACATTGGCTAGCAATTACACCCCCTCCACTCTCAGGTTTCCCATTTTGACAAGTTACATAGTCAGCCTTGTTATAACTGCTTTCTCCTATGATTATCTTCTACTTGTAATACTGTTTGACCTCCCATTCTACAACAACTAATGAACCTCTATAGTAATTTGTATTCCTTCATTGTTGTTAACCTCCCATTCTACAACAACTAATGAACCTCTATAGTAGATCAAATGCTTTAATCTTGGTTCTAATTGAAAATTTTGGCTAGAAGAGACATTCACTTACTCCTTGAGCATACTTTCTGTGCAAGTCCATGTTCTGTGGTTGATGTGCTTGTGGGACATCTATTTGATGTACTTTGTGTACTTGTCTTTTCTTATAACCATCTCCAGCCAATAAAAGCACTCATTTTACTATGTTAAAAACCTGTACACAGGGCTGGCCCGGTGGCTCACTCGGGAGAGTGCGGTGCTGATAACACCAAGGCCCCGGGTTCGGATCCCATATAGGGATGGCCAGTTCGCTCACTGGCTGGGCGTGGTGTTGACAACACCAAGTCAAGGGTTAAGATCCCCTTACCGGTCATCTTTAAAAAAAAAAAAAAAAAAAAAAAAAAACCTGTACACAGTTTATAACAGAGATAAAGTAATGATGCTTTCCTTAGTTAAAGGAAGGGTAGTGGATTATAAGTGAAAGCTGTCCTTGTGCATTTCAAAGAATATAAAAATGAACAACATACAGTGTAAACTTTTATTTTAGAATACAAACATAATCTTTACCATTTATATACACACATACATGCATACAGTCTATATAAATTAAACAGCAGAATCCGCAAGAAATGTACATTTTTTAACAAGAAAATCAGTGTTACTTCCTGATGAAGATACACAAGGATAGTTACTATTACATGTCCATTAGAAGATTACTGTCCTTGGGCCGGCCCGGTGGCGCACTCCCGCCAAGGGTTCGGATCCCATGTGGAGACCGGTTCCCGCTCACTGGTTGAGCATGGTGCGGGCGCGGCACCAAGGGTTGTGATCCCATTACCAGTCAGTAAAAAAGACAAAAAGGAAAAAAAAAAAAAAGATTACTGTCCTTGTCCTTAACTCTTGTTTGACCAGGTATGTATTTGGTTTCTTGCTGATCATTCATATGTGAAGTTTTAACTGTGCCATCTGGATATTCCCTCTCTTGAACTGGTATGGAGTTCTCTTTGGCCATTATTAAACTCTGTGATTTTGTTGCCATCACTGTAATATTTAAAATAGAATTTAATCACTTAAAAAAGTATAAAACATACAACAGGAAAACTATTAAAATGGAGACCTTTGATTGTGGAGGTTATTTCTCAACCCCTCTTGGTCCTTCTTTCTATAAAATTACAAATTCTTTCTACAGTGTTTCTGCTTCAGGCTGATAGTTCCAGTTGTCAGATTAGCACTTATATGTACCCATGAAAAGCTTGTTTTAATAAATTTACTTTATTTTTTCACCACAAAATGCTTTTTTTTTTTCATGTGTTCAGCCTCTAAAAGAAATTGATCATTGTGTTAAACTCTGGCTACTTCAGTTTTGACCTTTCTTTTCACTAACTTGAAAACCATCTGGGTGCATGCTCTGTATCAGGTGGGGACGAGAGCTATATTCCTGGAAAGGGGCACAATCACACTTCAGATCTATTTCGAAGCAATGATACAAAAAAGCAGAATATGAAAAATAGTTAACACCAAGTTGATTTCTTGACATGGCTGTGGAACAGTCAAACTGAACCCCAAATATAGGTATGATGTGCCATTATAAATACAAGGCTGGCTAAAGGCTGACAGTCACCACTTCTGAACACAGGCAGGTGCTGGCACTGGGTGATTTTTTTCTATAAACTTAATGAGCCATCTCTGTGCCACGTTCAAGTGACTCAACACTGCTCACAGCTGCTCCTTGACGAGTGTAGTCCCTGCCCCCCCAAAGTGTATCACCTGAGAGCTTATCAGAAATGCACATTACTGGAGTGGGTCCCAGCAAGCTGTGTTTGTACAATCCAGGTGATTGTAATACACACTAACATTTGAGAACCACTGCTAAAAGTCAAAACTGCCAAAATAATCCTAAACAAACTAATAACATCTGGGATTTCCCTGGGTATAGATGAAGAAAGATTGGCCATGATTTAATACTTGTTGAAGCTGGATGTATGGGTACCTAGAGTTTTTCATATTATTTTCTCTACTTTTTGTTATAGAAATTTTCAAAATTAGAGTTAAAAAATTTGAAACATTTCTGAAATCATTTAAAGCACAATGTACACATAAGTTTTTCATCTAACTTTAGAACAAATTGCTATTTATTTAGTCGAGCACCAGATAAAGTTTCAAACCTTGTTAAGGGAAAAACACTATCATGGCCAGTTTCCACATTATCTGAATTAGTGTTTTTACTTTTTTTTTTTTTTTTGGCAATTTTCTGTCACTGGATTCAGGTTAATTAACCCATAACACGTTAGTTGTATGCAAGTCAATGGGTACTTAATTGTCACACTCTAGGAAAGGAGATGAAAACTGAAAATAGGCCACTGAATGTGGCAAACCTTCGCCCTAGTTTTAATGAAAATGGTGATAAGGGAGCTCTTTATCATGGATTGAAGAAGTGTCTAACTTCAAGAAATGTAACTCAGAAGAGCACAGAAAGAGGTTATTGATTTTAAAAAACGGGATCAAGGGCCGGCCCGGTGGCGCACTGCTACAGTGCGCCACTTGGGAGCGCGGCGGCGCTCCCGCCGAGGGTTCGGATCCCGCATGCAGACCGGTTCCCACTCACTGGCTGAGCGAGGTGTGGGAGCAACACCAAGGGTTGCAATCCCGTTGCCGGTCCCGGTCCGGTACGGGCGCGACACTGAGGGTTGCGATCCGTTGCCGGACATGAAAAAAAGACAAAAAAAAAAAAACGGGATCAAGGAGGCCAGAGTAAAGAACGTATCCAGCTGGGGCAGAGAGATCCAGAAATTCAAAATACGAGCAAGAGGAGAACCACAGTCTAACTTACACATGGCTGCCACTGTCTGGTCATTCTTAAAAACTGACAGGGCCGCCTTCACCGCTTTCAAATCTCACCAAACTTATTTCTAGACAAATACTTGCCATTCCCATTTTCTGGAATGCTATATGAGTATAGACTCCCTCTAGAGCTCTAGGCTAAGACTAACACTAGATTATGTGGCAAGATATTTACCAAGAGCCTGCCTATCTCAAACTAGTTCTAAATTCGAAAATGCTGAGAACTTGTCTCACCTGCTCTCGAAGTGTCTTTGTTCAGTTATGAACTTGCTGAAATTTTGAATTACTTCTATACAAATGTTTTAGATTTGTAAATATTCAATTGGTAATAAATGTTGAGCCATGAAAATCTAGAAACAAATTTAACAAGTGTCATACCATTGTACTCTGACAATTGTATCATCTGGAAAAATGCTTTTTTCTTGCCCATCAATCAGCAAATAAGTTTTTAACAGTCTGGTCAAGAAGCGTGCTTTCTTTTCTTCCATCTGGGAAATATTTTTGTGTTTTAAAAAGGTTACCATAAATATTTTTTAAAGGAAGGGAAGAATTCAATAAGGAGAGGGCAGAGCAAGTT